CCATCTAATTTGGGTAAGAAAACTTTCCCCAAATTGAAGGAAAAGTAGATTTAAAATGTTTTCAAATAAAGAATTCAGATATTCTACAGTTTCCAAAACCAAATTAAATGTCACAAAGGAGTCTGGGTGTGGTGGCCCATGCCTGTAATCCCAGCACTTTGGGAGGCCAAGGTGGGTGAATGACTTGGGGTCAGGAGTTCGAGACCAGCCTGGCCAACATGGTGAGACCCCCATCTCTACTAAAAATACAAAAATTTTAAAGGCGTGGTGGTGCACGCCTTTAGTCCCAGCTACTCCGGAGGGTGAGGCACAAGAATTGCTTGAACCCGGGAGGCGGGGGTTGCAGTGAGCTGCAATTGTGCCAGTGCGCTCCAGTCTGGGAGACAGAGCGAAACTCTGTCTCAAAAAAATAAAGTGTGTCACAAAGGAAAGTAACTCAATTACATGAATAAAGTGGTCACTACCTAATTGTTACTGATCCTTTCAGAAGGAACATTTAATCGTTAGATGTTTATTCTACCTTTGACAGCCAGTTCCTGGAGGAAGCTATAGGCTCACTGCCTGCTCTTATCTTAGTATTATTTCTTTTAGAAGTGAAACAACTTAGTCTCTGAAGGAATACATTGCACTGAAATGAACCAGGCAAAAGGAACCCAACAGTTACTGTCTTTGATCAAGGCACAGAATATTGCTTTATGCCAAAATGAGACGTTTATGGTGTCTTTACTTATGTGAATTAAGAAACGAGGGCTGTGTTGAATATCATAATGTAAATAAAAGACATTCTTGGATCGTATCGTTTTAGGAATGCCTCGTTGCAGGCAAATGTCAACTGCCAGAGAAATGAAGATAGATTGAATGGCCTAGGAGGCGAGCCAGCACTGTGCCAGCCAAGGGCCAAGCCAGCCACCACAATTCGATCCTGGCCTGGCTTTTCCCTAAGACCGTTCCCGCCGCTCCCCTGTCCTGGTGCCTTAAGGGAGAGCCGTATTTAACATGTGGCCAGTCTCCTATTTGATTCCTGGCTTCCTGATGTTCATTTTTCTTTACCTCACAAAAACCGTTATCCCGATTACTTCTGTCTTTCCTGACTAGTCAGGGGTAGATAATTAAGGCTGCATCTAAACCCTTCTCTTCTATCTTTCCCAAACATCCATCCACACTACAGGGCAGCAACATCTCATTACGTAGATTGAAGTGTTGGGAAACCAGGTATTGGTCGGTCAAGACAGCCTTGTCTAGGAAGCAACTTGGAGCACAAGCCTGAATTACTGCTGGCAAACTTTGCAAGACTGTTCTGTTCCAGGAATAGGGGAGATGATGACCATGTAACTTGGAAAACTTGGTTTGGGGCAAATGATATGCTACATGATACATTTCCTGCTATGGAGAATGGCATGAACAGAAGGGGGAAGAAAGGTAATCCAAGTGGTCTTCAGTTAAGAACGCCTCAGCCTCTGAAATCCTGGTACGGTTATGTGTTCAGTGTCTGAAATTCACGTGCACGTGGCAGATGTTTCAATTTCTGATTTCATTTCAGGAAACAAAACTGCTTAGAAATTATTTTTGAGATTTTATGGTAGGTGGACTAGCTAAGCTATGACATCTTGTGGGAAGAAATTTTTAAAAATAGACAAGTGTGAAACTTACAGAAAACAAATTCTTAGTTCTTTGTCCAACAAAGAAGAATTTTTTGTTATCTATTTCTTACCATTTTGGTTTTTATCACCATTATTATAATTTTCTTTCAGCTTGCCAGTTAGTATTGTGAACTCTTAGGTAAAGAGGTTTTTGTTTAGAATTATAAAATTTCTTGGAGCAGTAATTCACACTCCTCTAGGCTTATTTGCATTCACATCAGAAATTTCCAACCAGGACACTTACTTGGGCCAACTTTTTCTGGTCAGTTTTCTGTAGTGTGTTACATAGCTTGTCTAGAGTTCTCAAAAATGCTTTTCAGACATATTCAGCTGCTGGAGGCTTGTTAATTTGGGGCACATGTAGGACTCTAATTGACATGAAATATAGTTTACCTGTCTGTGATGAATGAATTCTTTTTTTCAATCCATTATCCTGATTTTCTTTTTTTCAAATAAAGGGCTTATCTTTTACATGTATTTGTATCTAATCAGTATCTAATTCTTCATCCTATCTCCTGTTTGTTTGTTATCGTGAATTCAGCATGACTTTGTTTATAACTGATTCTCAAAGAACTCAACTGGGCAAATACTAGGTCATAGGCATATTACATGCCTATGTGTGAGGCTTTATTTTATGTGAACAGAGCAAGCACATATTTTATCTTGTCCGGAGATATGTAGATCATAGAGGCGAAGTTTAAAAAAACAAAAACAAAAACAAAAAAACAAGAGATCCAGATAGAAAAAAAGTTAATATTCTCTCTACTTTTGTGCAGATTTGAAATTTTTATGATAAAATGTTTTAAAATATCTCATATATACAGTCAATCCTCATTATTTGCCGTTCCACATTTGCAAATTTGCCTGCTTACTAAAATATACTTGTAACCCACATCAACGCGTGCAGTGCCGTTGTGTCATTCACAAACACGTGCAGAACAGTAGATCATTTGAGTCACTTGATGTGCATGGTCCCAGCTGAGGCTGAACAAGACATCATCGCTCTGCCTTCTTGTTTCAGCTCTCATACCACACATAAGTGTCTTTTTTGCAATCTATTTAATTCACGGTTTTTGCATTTTTGTGCTTTTTGTTCGTGATTTCACTGCTTAAAATGGCTCCCCAGCAGTGCTGAAGTGACTGTTGTTCCTAAGTGTAAGAAGCTATGATGTGTCTCACAGAGAAAATATATGTTTTAGATAAGCATTGTGCAGGCGTGAGTTATAGCTCTTGGCTGTGCGTCCAATATTAGTGAATCAACAATATTTATTAAATAAGGTGACTTTATCCCAGCACTTTGGGAGGCCGAGACGGGCGGATCACGAGGTCAGGAGATGGAGACCATCCTGGCTAACACGGTGAAACCCCGTCTCTACTAAAAAATACAAAAACTAGCCGGGCGAAGTGGCGGGCGCCTGTAGTCCCAGCTACTCGGGAGGCTGAGGCAGGAGAATGGCGTAAACCCTGGAGGCGGAGCTTGCAGTGAGCTGAGATTCGGCCACTGCACTCCAGCCTGGGCGACAGAGCGAGACTCCGTCTCAAAAAAAAAAAAAAATAAGGTGACTTTAAACAGAAACACTGTTCAAACAGGGTTTTATGTTGATCAGTTGATGAACATGTTGTGGCCAGAGGCTCACAGGAACCTAGCCCTGTATTTCCCTTAAGAACAATGGTTCAGTATTCATGAATTCAGTGTGCCTTGGAGAACAAGACTCACCTGCTCACATATAAATATATTGCATTACCTCTAACTAGCTCTAAGGAAATGCTGGTATGTTGTGATCATGGAATTATGTGTGCATATCAGACAAGTTAGGCTGCGAAGGGTCCTGTCCCATATTCACCTGGTCCACTGTGGACAGGACCCAATTCTATTACTTAGACTGTGCCACTTATCCACGATGTTCTCCAAGTCTTCTTTCTTTCTTTCTTTCTTTCTTTCTTTTTTTTTTTTTTTTTAGATGGAGTCTTGCTCTGTTGCCCAGGCTGGAGTGCAGTGGTGCAATCTCAGCTCACTGCAACCTTCACCTCCCAGGTTCAAGTGAGTCTCCTGCCTCAGCCTCCTGAATAGCTGGGACTACAGGCACATGCCACCATGACCAGATAATTTTTGTATTTTTAGTAGAGACCAGATTTTACTGTGTTGGCCAGGATGGTCTCGAACTCCTGACCTCAGGTGATCCACCTGCCTTGGCCTCCCAAAGTGCTGGGATTACAGGCTCCAAGTCTTATTTTTATTGTTTCCTTTTAGTTGTGGCAATTGCCATTGCGACCTCCTGAGTAAAGAGGTTCTGTTCAAAATGATCCACAGAGTAAAAGCTGGCAGGTCTATTCTCACTGCCCTGTTCTGAGGTTTCTCTCTCTGATGGACTGCACTGTCCACAAGATCAGGAAACATGAATCCTCCTGAACTGGTAAGAGCTTATTTATCCTCCAGACCTCACATAGTACCTGGCAGGCAGTAGGTACCCAACTGCATGACTGCATAGAATACTAATGAAATGTACAGTCATAAAACACGTTAAATTAAAAATCTTACAAAATAAGTAGTGACTAACGTCTAATATAACAGCTGGGAAATGGTGCCCGCAGGGCAGAAGCTGTCTTAGATGTTTAGAGACTTAGTATTGGTTACAGAACCTATAAAATGCGCAGAAAAATAACCATATACGTCTATAAAACCACACAGATTTCTTGTGATAAATAATAGAGTTTATGGATTTTATTGGTTTGGCAACTGACAGCAATAACTGTAAATAAACAACTGAGGTAACCTTTATTAGTTAGACCAGAATAGTAAAATATTGCCCAGGGGACAGAAAAGCAAAATTTTAAAGCTGATATCCTGGCTTGGGAATTATTTCACAATTAAGACAACTTCTATCAAGAGGGCAATATTTTCCAGCTGTTCCCTGGAACCTTTACCATTTACATTCTGCTTTGTATTTTTGTTGAGTAATAGAAGCAATTAATTGTAAGCATTATAGTTTATTCTGCATTTGGGCATCACGATTCTGAGGAAGGGATTTTTTTTTTATCCAGGCAGTTGAACAGGATATAAATGTCATTTTAATAATAGGAACTGAGAATTTAATACTATGGTATTAAACTGTAAGTATAAGTGAATAATACTAGTGCTAGCTTCCTTGATTTCCTACAGAATTCTGGCCTATTCATGGAATTTTTATTAAGGAATGCGGTACTGCAACTTTTTTTTTTTTTTTAGGTAAAGAAGATTTCAACAGAAATGCAAAGGAAAAAAAGGAAGATACACATTGAGATACTTACACAGTTCTTGGTGTAAGAAAATTCTCTTTGTCCGAAATATTCAGGAAAAAAACAAGAGAGGTAAGATGCAGTTTTCACTTGAAGCGTTTCCTTCACTCTTCATGTAACTTGGCTGTATCAGTCAGTGTATGAATAAATATGGAACTACTTGAGGGCATACTATATATATGTAAAAACCCAAGAATACTTTTGGAAAAGCCAAAAAGTATCAGCATAAAGTGAAAAATAAAACGAAACAGAAACTTTTCCGACCAAACAGACGTAAGCCAGATGTTAGAGTCTCCCGCGCGAGGAGGGCCGTGTAGGGCCCCTGTAGCTGTGCCAAGTGCATGCTAAATGTGGCCAGAGAGAGGTACATGGCTTAAGTTCACTCTCTTTACACATAAAAATGACCGTTTCTCTCTGTTTTATTTTGGCACACTGACGTAAATGTGGCTAGCTATGGCAATAAAAATCACGATTAGCTATTTTATAACTCAAGTCAGAATTTTCATTGAGTGAAAGAAAGAGGCTGTGTTACCAATGAAGAGAGATGTTTGATCAATTAAAATGAAAAACATATTTACTATACGTAACTCCTGTATGTTTAAATATTATCCTGCTACAAGCTAAAAAGAAAAACTTTTCACTTACTTTTCCAGTGCTTTTTATGTTCTTCCCTTTCTTCTGGGTTTGCTGCCTTCTGCCAACTGAGCCACTATTTAATACACTTTCATTGGAACAAACTTCCGCCCTAACCAATCTGGGATGCAAAGAGAATCACAAGTTTTATTTAGGCACTTTGCATTTTGGAAATTAAACAGAAATAAAAATCAATATTCTCCCACTGGCACAAATTACTTTTCTTTCTTTTTTAAGTTTTTTTTTCCAACAAAGAGGAAAGGAAGATTAAAGAAATGGGATACTCGTAAAAATCTGTTTTCCACAGACATGCCTTATGTGTCAGGCTGTGACCTAGAACCACATGCTTTTGGGGCTGTGGGCATGGTGACTATTTCTTGGCAGAAAGACAGATTGCAAGCGAGTGCTCACTCTACGTTCACCCAAATAGGTTCCGGAACTTTTTGGCTCCGAGGTGTCAGGTCTTTGTGTACCTGAACCTGTAGAAGGCCGAGGGGAAATACACACAACATTTTTATTATAGGACTGTTCTTCTTAAAACACAGCCTGCCGGGCTCATGGTTTAAATTATAGTGTGTCTCATGTGAAGTTCTCACATCTGGTTTGACAATCATCTTTTCAAAAATGTAGTCTTTTGTGAGCTTGTGACGCAAAATGATATGGTAAAATGAACACAGGCGACTCACAGTTGCTTAAGTTGCAGTAGTTGCAAAACTAAGAGAAGGCAAAAATAAAACTGGACAGAGTGCAATGTCATAAAATCTAATATATAAATGGGAGGCGCATCTAGTGTCTGTCTACCTGTGGTGGGCTGAATGGCGACTCCCCAGAAGGATATGTCCACATCCTGATCCCTGGAACCTCTGAATGTGACTTTCTCGGGAAGGAGAGACTTTGCCGACATAATCAGGCGAAGGATGTCAAGATGAGAAGACCATCCTGGATTAGGTGGGTGGGTCCTGAATCCTTTGACAAGTGTCCTTGTAAGAGACACTTGGAGGAGAGACAGAGAGAAGAGGAAGCAGGAATGTGGCTACGGAAGTGGAGATTGGAGTGATGTGGCCACAAGCCAAGGAACACCAGAGCCACCAGAAACTGAAAGAGGTGAGGAACAGAATCTTCCTTAGAGCCTCTGCTCTGGGGAGTGTGGCCCTGTGGACACCTGAGTTTCTGATTTCTAGCCTCCAGAACTGTGAGAGAATAGATTTCTGTTGTTTTAAGCCACCCAGTTTATGATACTCTGTTATGGTAACTACAGAAAACTAGTGATATCTGTCTATTGGTCTATCTATCTACCTATCTACTTACCTACCTAACTGCTATGGCTTGGCTGTGTCCCCACCCAAATCTCATCTTGAATTGTAGCTCCCATAATTCCCACCTGTTGTGGGAGGGACCCGGTGGGAGGTAATTCAGTCATGGAGGTGGTTTCCCCCATACCCTTCTCGTGGTAGTGAGTAAGTCTCACAAGATCTGATGGTTTTATGAGGGGAAACCCCTTTTGCTTGGCTCTCATTCTGTCTTGTCTGCCTCCATGTAAGACATGCCTTTCACCTTCTGCCATGATTTTGAGGCCTCCTCAGCCACCTGGAACTGCGAGTCCATTAAACCACTTTTTCTTTCTAAATTGTTCAGTCTTGGGTATTAATTACTCATCTTAATATCATCAGTACTTACCTCCTCACTGAGTTGGTTTTTGCCAACCCATTCCTATTTCTTTTATGCATATTTAATTATCCCATGTACTCCAGAACAACTTTACATATTAACTGAAAAAATGATAAATTGTAACCATTCTGAATTTGAGACAATACCTGCTTCTGTATTCCTCTTTATCACGTATATACATATACACTAAAATATGTGCATATGTATTAAAGGGTATTTTATGTTGTTGGATACCATCTCCGGTGTCTGGGTTAGTGCTCGAGCCTCAAAGAGAAAGGGACTGTATGTCTTAAATTCCTTTATAGTGGTTCTGATGACCATGCTATTTATTAATCACAGTTTTCAGGCACATCCTTTTGACTTAAATTAAAAGTAAGTCAGAATATGTGTTAACAAAACCAGGAAACCAGAGATTAACAAAATCAGGAAACCAAAGCCATTCAACAAAACCTGCTTCTGTTGCATTATTCTTTATTTCACTCAATGATATGGGGCCACATCAAGTCCCTTCAGTCAGCTCCCCAGGAGTTACTTGGGCCATGTTTTATATGTCACCTGTCACTAGGTGCTCCCATTCTTAATGTCCCTCCACCCATCTCCTCGCCACCATCCTTGCTGAGTTGTCATTTCATCCATCAGCCACACAGCTCTGATTAGGTTCTACACCAGGACCCGAAGGGTTTGACTGCCCAGCTCCCCATCCCCACACTGCTGCTAATAGATCCCCACTTTCCTTCTGGAAACTGTCTCCTCCCCAACCCCACTGCTACACACACACACACACACAAACACACACACACATGCAGACATCTTCACACACACGCACATGCACCCACACATGTACACCTACATACTCCCCACATACATACCTACACCTCACACATGCACACATTCCCCATGCATGCACACATACCAGTGCATGCATACACACACACCCCATGCACACACAAACACACACTTCATGTACACACTAACACATGTGCACATACCCAGGCACCCATGCCTGTATGCACACTCCCTGAACACACCCCGCACCCCCACCCAGTCCCTCATACACATACACACACCTCTGCATGTACACGGTGCACACACACAAATACCCCATGTGTGTGCACCCACGTGCACACTCCCCATCACCACATTCCACGTAATTCTCAGGGTCCCTCTACTACTGGGACCAGCCACTGCGACTGGATAGTGTCCCTGTGGCTCATCCAGCACAAGATTCAGACCTAACTGGGGTTCATCAGAGACCTTCTGGGAGACACCCGTGGATGTGGGGGAAAGAGTGGGCACTATCGTTTTTCTGGGTGTGCTGTAGGCTGAAGGAGTGATAAAAGCCTGGAACTTCCACTGACTATTTTGCCACTGCAAGGAGATAGCCAGGAATAAAATGAATTCAGGAAAGTGGAAAGTGGAGGAGGGGCCACAGGAGAGGGGGAGAGAAAAGAAAAGAAGGGAGTGAGAAAAAGAGAAAGGGAAGGGGAGGGAGAAAGAGAATCATCTTAGTCTCTGGGTCTCACAGGGGGTGAAGCAACTGCTTATCTTGGATTTAAGTCTTGGGAACCAATAGAATCCCTCTTTTCTTAGGCTAACTTGAGCTGGAATCCCATAACTTGCAACACAAATTGACCCCATGGATCTAGTTGCTCTCCTGGTTAAGAGAGCATGCCTAAGGCCCGTGGTTCTTGGTGAGTTCACCTGTTCCCTATCTACAACCTCAGCATTGCCCTTTAAGCCCCTCTATCTTACAATCCAGTCATCCTGAGTGACTTGCACCTTCCTGAATGCAAAAGAGTGTTTCACCCTCAGGCCTCTGTACAATTTTTTGTCATTTATTCCAGAAATATTTACTGAGCACTTATTTTCTAAGCACTGGAGATATAGCAGCAGACAAAACAGAAAACAACTTGCTGCCTTCGTGAGGTTTGCATTTTAGCAGAGGTGAGGAAACAGGATAGGATAGAAGTAAAATTCAGAAGTAAAATCTGGAGTACGTGCAAACAATCACAGAAGCACCGTGTGACCCAGTAATTCCACTCATAGCTGCACATCCAGGAAAAATGAAAACATTACATCACAAGAAACCTCGTGTTCACAGGAGCATTATTCATAATGGCCCCAAAGCAGAAACAGCTCCATAGTTCGTGGACGGATTAGATGTGGACTGTGAGCACAGAAAGAGTCGAGAATCATTCCATGTGCTCTCCCTGTCGTCTGAAAGGCCTCACCCTGTCATCAGAGCACCTGCTGGTTGTCTGTCCCCAGGATTCACCAGAGGCACATGGATTACGGGGCTGTATTCCTGCTGCTCAGCACCGCAGTTGAACGGAGTAGGATCTCCAAAGCAAGTCTGTGGATCAAATGTACAACTCAAGCATACAGACTTGCCCCCAGGCCATTTTCAGCCTGGTGACATGGCTCAGAGAAACAAACACAGACATCTAAACACCCAGGAGGGCCCTGTTAGGCCTTGGCTGATGGTCTCTTGACTGCTTAACGCACAAGAACCCTGCAAAGCCTTCTCCCCACATCTCTTCAAGAGCCTCTGTGGCTACTTCTCCCTCTCTTTCTCAGTGCCCTTCCAGTTCCCCATGATTCTTCCTCTGTTCCCACCCGCTCACCTCTCCTCCCTCTTCCCTCTGCTGACCTACCCATCTCACCTGGATTAGGCCTGCCCTTCTGCATCTAACGTGCTCCAATCCCTCTGTTAGTCAGTGAAATGGAACTGAACAGCTAACTTGCCTGAGCAAAGTGTCCTTTCTATTTAAAAGGTGAAGAGGGAAGCAATTATAAGTAACTGTGTTGCAATAATTTCCTTTTTTTGAATTTTACTTTAAGTTCCGGGATGCACGTTGTGCAGAATGTGCACGTTTGTTGCATAGGCATACATGTGCCATGGGGGTTTGCTGCACCTATCAACCCATCGTCTAGGTTTTAAGCCATCTCGGCAAAACAATTTCCTTTTATTCTTGTCACACATAAATGAATACTATTCCACGGTTCTTAATCTGGGATATGGAAAAACTTGTTTGATGTTGCTGTGTGTTTGCACATGCTGTTTTTTATGCTTGGAAATCTCTGCTCTTTCCTTCTCTTGCAGTGAAACTCCTTGTCCAGATCCCTTTCCTGGTGTCCATTCCTCAGCAAGGGAGAGCTGGAGGCAATGCAGCGGGGAATGGCGTGACTGCAGAACAAGCCCGGGTCGGCATCTCAATCTCATTTCTCATGAGCAGGGACAGCTTGAATCAGCTGCTTACACTTGTGCAGCCTTCTTTCACCATCTTTAGAGTTGTCAGGAGCTGATGGTATAACGTGACTCATCCCTCCCTGGCTGTAAGGGACAGTAGCGTATCTGAGGATGGGCTGGGATTGCTGAGATGTAGGGCTGGAGCCGGGGCAGGGGGCCTCCAGCTAAGAGAGGCCTCCTTAGTCTGAGCCATAATATCAATTGGATTTTTAGGCTTCATTGTATGAGCCCACCATATATTTACAGTTGGCATAGATGTAGATACACGGGCCTACTTTACCTCCGCTACTATGATCATTGCAATCCCTACTGGTGTAAAAGTTTTTAGCTGGCTCGCCACACTTCACGGAGGTAACATTAAATGATCTCCTGCAATACTTTGGTCTCAGGGCTATTCTCATTTTCCGGATGAGCAGTGACGTGAACAATATTTTGAAGCATCGAAGAAATTGATATACAGTGTCTGGCACAGAGTGAGTGCTCAGTGACTGTGGGTGCCCCCGCGTCCAGCTCGTCTCTGCTCGGAGCATGCCTTTTTCACGGCACTTACGAGAATGTGTCGTCGTCGCTGTCTGCTGCTTGTTTGTCCCCGCCACACGCTAAGTCCTTTAGGCTCAGGGACTGTGTTACGTTCATCTCCACAACCCCAGGCCTAGCACAACACCTCCTGCCTAGTAGGTCCTCAGTATTTGCTGAATGAATAGATGATGATTTCACGGAGGAATCACTCCCTAAAGTTTCCAGCCACAGGCTGAGGAAACTCAGGATGAAAACACGTCTCTTGCCCAATCTTCACCACACTTTTTAGTGGCGGTCACTGCACTGGGTGTTTTCTTTAAGAAGGATGACCTCATGCCAAGGACGAGGGCGTGGGGTCTGTGCCGGGCACTTCCCAGTTCCGCTTTCTGGGTGTGGAGAAGAGGGAGGATGCCCACAGACAGGGAGGGAATCAAATGCACAAAAGGAGGGCAGGAGGGGAGGTGTTGGCTCCTGGTGGGCCTGGCATATGGCTGTGCTCCGAGTTTTCTTCTGGTCCTGTGTGTGGGGCTGAAGCTTCCGCTGCCACCAGACGTCCCTGCCACATCCCTCTTTAGAGTCCTAACCTCACTCTCAAGACCCCGACGCTCTCCATGAAAACAAAACACATCTTCCGTGTAGTGACCCCAGAAAGCTCCATGGGGGAGGAAGTGCCACTGAGAAATGAGCACCAATCCCAGGTGAAAGTTGTGAGCTGCAAGGCCCATATCAGGCTGTCGTGGATGACCTTGGATGCCCTTGAGGTGTCCTTAAAGGAGGCAACATTCACTTTTTCGCCGTGTGTGTGTGGCAGACCACATGCAAGATTTTGGGCTTACCCGGTTGTGACTATTACTGTGTCCTCGGGTTTCATCTTGGGGAAGGGAGTTGGACCAGTTCTTCCTCCTGGAGGCTGATTTCCTAAAGTGCAAAACTGGGCCTGTCTGTTGAGGCCCAAGTGTTCCAGAAAAGATCTCTGACAGATCCATGGAAACTGAATTCAGTTGCTAGTGAAGAGCTTTCATGGGAGCAAAGCTATTGGCTGTGGGTTTCTTAATTGTCAGGTACACATTAGGGCAGTGGTCCCTAAACTTTTTGGCACTGGGGACTCGTTTTGTGGAAGACAGTTTCCACAGATTGGTTTCAGGATGAAACTGTTCCATCTCAGATCATCAGGCTTTAGATTCTCATAAGGAGCATGTAACCTGGATCCCTCCCATGCACAGTTCGCAATAGTCTTTGAGCTCCTATGAGAATCTAATGCTGCTACTGATCTGATGGGAGCTCAGGTGTTAATGCTTGTCCACTGCCCACCTCCTGCTGTGTGGCCTGGTTCTTAACAGGGAATGGACTGCTACCAGCCTTCAGCCCAGGGGTTGGGGACCCCTGCATTAGGGGACAGAACAACACTTTGCAGAAGGAGAAAACGGGTCTTCTTCCTGTTCCTCCTTTTTCTGTACTCTGCCCTCTCTCACTTGTGGACACTTCAGGGACGTAGAAGAGGGGGTGCAACACTGCATCTGGCTCCTCCAAGTGTGGTCTAAGACCTGCCACCTCTGCATCTCCTGGGAGCTTGTCAGAAATGCTGAGGCTCAGGCCTCAGCCCAGACCCACAGGATTAGAATCTGCATCTTGACAAGACTCCCCTGGTGACCTGAATGCACGTTCCAGTTTGAGAACATTGATCTCATCATGGAGATAGGTGATTTGTGACCCAACAGCCGTCACTTGGATTCTAGACCCCAAAATCCATAACACACTAACTGTGTGACTGGGCAGGTTACCTAAGGCTCTTTGAGTCTCCGAATCCTCATCTGTAGAATGGCAGAGAAGTGCCCACTCTATTATAGAGTTGTTGATGGGATTAAATGAGTGAATGGATGTAAAGCTCTTGGCACCCAGTGCTGGGAAGGGCAGTTATGGAGATGATAATCATTCCCCTTTGCCCCCTTCCCAATCCTGGCACCCAGGACCCAGGCCAGTGCTCTTAGCAGGAGGGAAGCAAGAGCACTGGCTTGACCCATTGGTGCTCAGGACGGGTAGCACTAAACAGTCCTTCCAATCAGCTTCACATTTCAAGTGCCTCACCGAGGATGTTGATAGCAATGGGTACAGTTGAGTAACAGTTTACTTGCACTATTTCATTAGATATTTTTATTAGTGCTGTTATTTCCATGGTTTTGAAGGAATCCATGAGTTTTCAACTTGTAAATGCAACACATTTTAAAATAGCAGTCTTTAAAAGTTATGATTGTAAGTTTTAGGCCCTCTGAATTAATGTCTTGCCCTGTGTATCTGGGCATGAAGCCACAGATACCACACAGACTGTACGTAGTGCTGAGTGGAGCCTATGTGGCAGGGCTGCAGGGTTCAGCTGGAAGTACCCACTGGGGCAAAGCTAGTGTTGGAAGGATCCTGGCCTGGCAGCAGAACAGGCATCAACGTTGTAAGACTGCATGGAGAAGGGGCGGCTGGATCACCTGGAGCCCGGGGACAAGCTTGGCACATGTTTCCCTTTTGATTGATGTTGCATATTGAAGTCTGCTCTCATGGGTCTCTTTGCCTTGAAGATAATTTTCTCTCTTTTCTGCTAACGTCCTGAATGTTTCTGGCACATGACTTGGACCTGATGGTGAACTCATTGCTTTGCCACGAGGCACTAGGAGCTTTTCAGCACGGACATGCTTTCCAATGAGCAGTCTCAACCCAGTCCCCTTGGCACACCCACTTCGCTTAGACAGTGGGACCTCAATAAAAATGTGTTTGAAAGGACACTGTGCCATCATTATTGGTTTAATCGATCATTGGTCAGGGCCAATGGGGAGAAGGGAGCAATGATAAGGAGTGTGAATATGAGGGATATCTAACAAAGCAGGTAGGAAGTCAATCAATGTAGGTGAAATGGACAGGAAAGATTTTCTTTTTTTCCATAAGCCTCTTCATGTTTATCTTGGAAGTGAAGAATTCTAAGACTACTCCATGAATTGTCATTGTGGTAGCTACTCAATTATTCTTAGATAAAACAAATGGTCCCAAATCTGAGATATCTGTTAGGAATGATGTTAGAAAAGTCAAGATGAAATCTTTCTGTGCTTTTGAGCATCACACTTGGTTTTGATCCAGGCAGCCAAACCACCTGTCCTGTGGTATGGCCACTCTGTCAGTTGGTGACTTCTTGCTCCAGGGAGCCCTGGGAGCTGATAACTCTTGGTTGGGGAATGTTCCCCTAGCCTCTTACCAATTCAGTCTTCCATCGACTCGTTATTCTTGCTTTTGTGGGTGGCCATACAAATCATGTGCTGTGGGGAAGTCACTTCAATCACTTCACTGTCTACAGGATTCCCTGGAAGCTTGAAGTAATTTTTCAGGTAATTAAATCCACAAAATACTTTGTTTTTTCCTCAATGATTAGGATATCTCAAGTGAGTCAAAACTGTATTGCGATTGCCTCAATTCTCCATTTTCCTGGTCATGTATCAAAAGACACTTTCTGCTTCCTATATGTGGGGCTTAGCGTCCACATCGTAATTCACCAGAGACTCTCTGGAGAGCTTGGCTTTGTCCCATGTATCCTAGTACCAGCTTGCCACTGGTCTAAGTTAGAAAACATCCAGATTTGGAGCTCACAGAAATGCCCAATTTTATACTTTTTTTTGTTTAAATGGAGAGGCGTCTCTAACTGGGTGAGAGAGGATTTGGAAAAATGGCCAGCAGAGAACAATAACAATAGTGACTAACATTTATTGAGTACACACTATGTGTTTACTGTGTGAAATAATTTTCATCTAAACCTTTTGGCAACCTAAGGTTGACGGCATGGAAGCTTTGAGAGTGTAAGTTTCTTGTCCAGAATTTTATAACTAGAAAGTGACAGAGCCTGGCTTCCAACCTATACCCATGGACACCAGAGTGTCTATATGTGTCTTTCCAATGAGCGATGGTTCACACTCATTGGAAACATGAGTGCCTTTGGAACATACAGTCAATATGATGCTGAAAACAGTAACAGAAAGAGTGCAGGTGCTGAATCCGTGTTCCTTTTCATGCTGGAAAGAAAGATGGTGAGAAGCTGGCATGTCTTCCACACAATTCCATTCCATCAGCTGGTCTCCAAATTCCCACCCCTCTCGGTTCCCCACTTCTCTTTGTCTCTTTCCAGAAGGAAACAAACTCCTTCTCACTGAAAATTCACAAACTTTACAAATTTCGATAGACTAGCTGTGGCTTCTTTTTAAAACACTCATAGGGAGCTGGGTCCTGGAGAGCTCTAAAGCCCTCTAATTTTGCTCACAGACTGAAGAAGGGAAACTCAAGTCACTGGAGACAAAGGGGCAAAGGCATGGGTTTGGCAGCAGAGGGAAAGAAATGGTCTGTGACCAGGGCTTCAGCTGTCTGTGTTGGCTCTGAATGACAGTATGCTCTTGCTCCAAGGACTTTAATTGGCTGATAGAGTGATTGCTTTGGCCAAAGGTCCAATTAATACCCAAGATTTGAGGATTGGTTTTCCAACCCCAGTTGGATGACTTTCCTGGCAAGCAAAGGTTACCACTGTAAATTCAATTCACTTCCTTAACTGTGCACCCACTCTATAATGTAAGGATATCACTGTGTCTGGTTAATTCCAGACAAGACTTTGTGAGCAGATGGGGAATTTGGATTTTCAAATTCGCAAAAAAAAAAAAGCATAAGTGAGTGTGAGTTTTGTGTAGTTACCTCGATGCTCCACCTTGTGGAAAACGTGCTAAATCCCAATATAGTAGGAGGGAGGACTGCAAATGTGAAACAGAGTGGTTGGCCCAGGGATTTATGCTTGCTGAGAATGTTCTCATCAATAGCTTGCTGTGATTGGCTACGGACCTATTGAAATCACCATTAAACTAGAAAACGAAGTTATTCGGCCCTTGTGTGGAAAGTGTCTCAGACAGTAATGCAGAGGCCATAGTCTGAAGGCGGCACTCATACTACAGAGCAACGGTAGGAGCTCCAGTTTCAGATCATGGTTCTGAAATTTACTAGTTGTGTGCACTTAAGTTGCTTAGTCTAATTCATAAAGCAGGGATGATAATTCCTCTTTACAGCTTTGTTGCAAGGATTGCATTAAAGAAAATACGTAAAAGCATAAGGGCATTCGATTAATGTTACAAGAACCCTTCCCTCAACCCCAGGGGTGGCTGTAGCTGTTTCGCCTGACACTTCATGTGTGTCAGTCACAGTGCTGTGTCCGACACACATGTGGAGAATCACACACAGGATAGTGCTCCTCCCCACAGCAGCTGTATCATGGCAGACAGCTCATGAGCATGCAGTTTCTTCCCGCCCTGGTCAGCAGCCCAGCAGACAAGCTGTCTCAGAGCCTGGATTTCAGCATGTTGCACTCACCCCAAATATCCCGCAGGCTGCCTATTCCCTTCTGCTGCCCTTCACAAGGCTTCACTTTGCCCTCCAACCAACCCTTTTTATCTCTTGTTTACCAGATGGAATGAAGACTGTTTGTTAAAACACCCTGCCCTTCTGTTTACTTGGACCTGATTTTGAAAGTACAAGTCACTTTATTTGGGCTGGAGGAAAAAGCACTAAACCAGATGTTGAGGTGACCGGGATTCCTGGAAGACGTTCTTCTCTCCGACGAGACGCGTGATGCATGAAGTAGGAGCCCCTGCCAAGGAGCCCAGGCTGCCATGGCCTCGCTCGCTCATGCTTCCCGGCATGGCCCCGAGGCTAGCTGCCTCTGTACTGCCTGAGCATCGTCCCCTGGTGTGTCACCAGACTGCTCACTATCTGTGCTTGCACCTGCGGGTAGGCAGTTCAGTCGCCGCAGGCCGAAGCTCCCTGTCACAGGAATCCATCAACACTGGAGTTCACCAAATGGCCCAGTCCAGGTCTGTGTCATACTGTTTTGCAAAAGCAAGAAAACTCATTCAGGGCTTATTACTTTTATCCCTGACTTCCTAAGTGAGCAGCGTAGCCAGAGAGCTACCTCCTCTGACATCCTTTAAGAGCCATGACCACTCCTGCCCTTGCTTTGTGATAGGCACTCCTGGACACTGAAGTGCTGCTGTTGTGCACTGCTGTGCATCCTGTCCGAGGATGAGTGCTCCAGTCCTTGCTCCCTCCTCCCGTGACTGGCTCATTAGCCAGAGCAAACTGTGGCCTTGAAGGAGCAGAAGGAGCATTTGACTCTTCCCAGCTGTCAGTCTTTGGAAAATTAAGCAAAGTGGAATGACAGGCATTTATTCATTTAACTGGCAGTTATTTATTGAGCATCTATTTTGTGGCAGGCACCGTGGTGACACTGAGGAGAGAAGGGTGAACGAGGACAGTCCTGAGCTCAAGCACGCTGCTGGTGGGTGGTAGTGGGGGCAGACGAGGAAGGGGCACCCATGACATGGCATGCGATGCAGCACCTCCAGGACAGGGCTCGGGTGCCAGCAGCAGCTCCCTGGGTCTTGGGGGACATTGTAAGAGGAAGCGGTGGCTCAGTGTAGACCTGAAGGACGAGAGGTCGCCAGTCATGTGTGGAGTGGGTTGGTGGAGATGTGCAGAGTGCAAGGAAAGCTGGAGGTGAGACCTCCAGGCAGAATGGAGGGAGGTGTGTCCCTTAGCATGTGGGCTCTAAGGAGCCTGGGAGATCTTAGGGGTTCCCCGGAGGCTGACTGAAGGCTGCCCAGGGAGTCTGGCTGGTAAGGGCCTCCAAGGTCAGGTTTGGGTGTGGGAGTAGCCATTTCTAGCTCTGGTTGAGGTGCTCTTCCCTGTCAGTGCCCCCAAATCCTTCAGCAGTGTCTGATACGATATTCTAGACTGGCATTGTTTCTGGTGCAGTCCCCGTCTCATTCTTCAGGAAGCATGGTCATGGCAATACCTGGAGTCTCCACTGCAAGACCAGAGTGATGGAGGCAGCAGAGCTCCTCAGCAGACCAGGAGTCTCCAGAGGCACTGCAGAATGTCTAAGAAGCAACCTCATTGTATTCCCAAGACCCGGGAATCCAGGTCTCACAGATATGATGATACAATCTATAGCCAGGACATCTCTTCATGTGTAGGTAAGAAGGGCATGGGGTAAGTTCATCTGGTGTTTCTAGGCATTCTTGCTTTTCTATATGCCACTGACGCCTTTCACCTTCATCCGATTTTCAGTGGATACTAGGGTGAGCAGCTATCCCCGTCTTCCCAGGATTGAGGGGCTTCTCCAGATGCTGCACTTCCAGTGCTAAAAATGAGAAACTGAAATGAATTAGTCACCCAAGGAACGTTGACCCTGTGCTATATGATCACATTTACTCTTTAAAGCAATGCTTTGAGATAGGTAATATTATTTCCATTTTAAATAATTTATAAATAAGAGATAAACTGTGTTTCCCGAGGCCATTATCCAGTAAGTGATAGTGACTGGGTTTAGGTTATATTGTCTGGTTTAAAGCCAGCATATTTGTTATCTGCATAATAAGTTACTCCAAAGCTTGGGCTTAAACCAACAACAAAAGTTTATTAATTCATAGTTTCTGTGGATCAGAAACTGAGGAGCAGTTTAGCTGGGTGGTTCTGGCTCAGGATCTCTCATGATATTGTCATCATAGCATTGGGGGCTGTGGTCATCCGAAGGCTTGACTGGGGCTGGAGGACCTGACTTCAGGATGGTGTACTCACATGGCTGCAGGCAGGGTACTACACAAGAGACAGGCTACCATAGTCACAGTGTGTCTGATGCTTCCACAGCTACCCGTTAGGACTCTATCTAAGTCCTAGAATTGGGACCAGACATGGGGATTAAAGGGATTCCGTAGGATGAGATTGACTAAAAACATATACACGTGAACAGGCATACACAGGAATATTCATTATATGTGTAAATACCATCACTTGTATTCAGGCACATCTTGTTTTATTGCAGCTTTATTGCACCTTACAGATACTGCATTTTTTTTTTTAACGAATTGAAGGCTTGGCACAACCCAGTGTTGAGCAAGTCTATCAGCACTGCTTTTCCAACAGCATGTGCTCACTTTGCGCCTCTGTGTCACATTTTGGTAATTCTTACAATATTTTGAACATTTTTATGACTATTCTATCTGTTGTGGTGATCTGTGATCTTTGATATTACTAGTGTCATTGTTTTGGGGCTTCATGAACCATGCCCATATAAGATGGCAAATTTAATTGACAAATGTCGTGTGTGTTCTGTCTGCTCCACTGGCCAGTGGCTCCTCCATTTCTCTCCCTCTCTTTAAGCCTCCCTATCCCCAGGGCACAATAATACTGAAATTAGGCCAATCATGAAGCCTACAATGGTTGCTAAGTGTTCCAGTGAAAGGAAAAGTTGCATGTCTCTAATTTTACATTAAAAGCTAGAAATTAAGAGTGTGAGGAAGGCGTGTTGAAAGCCCAGACAGGTGGAAAGCTAGCTAGGCCTCTGGTGCCAAACAAGCCAAGTTGTGAATTCAAGGAAAAAGTTCTTGAAAAATTAAAAGTCCAACTCTAGTGAACACATGAATGACCAGAAAACGAAAAAGCCTTAGTGCTGATGGGGAGAAAGTTTGAGTGGTCTGAATAGAAGATCAAACCAGCTACCACATTCCCATAAGCCAAAACCTCATCCAGAGGAAGGCCCCAACTCTCTTCAATTCTATTGAGTAAGGCTGTTCTTGTGTTGCTGTAAAGAAATAACTGAGGCTGGATGATTTATAAAGAAAGGAGGTCTAATTGGCTCCTGGTTCTGCAGGCTGTATAAGAAGTGTAGTGCTGACATTTGCTTCTGGTGAGGGCCTCAGTGAGCTCTTGATTATGGCAGAAGGCAAACGGGAAGCAGAGACATCACATAGTGAGAATGGGAGCAAGAGAGGGAGTGGGGGCTGCCGCACGCTTTTAAACAACCAGATCTCACCAGAATTCACTCACTACCGCGAGGACAGCACCAAGACATGAGGGATTCACCCGCCACGACCCCATCACCGCCCACCAGGCCCCACCTCCAACACTGGGAATCATACATTAACATGATATTTTAAGGGGCAAACATCCAAACTATATCATCTGTGAAGGCTGACAGAGCTGAGGAAGCTGCAAAAGAAAGGTCTGAAGCTATCAGAGATTGGATCGTGAGGTTTAACGAAAGAAGCCATCTTCACAACATAAAAGTGCAAGGTGAAGCAGCACGTGCTGATGGAGAAGCTCCAGCAAATTGTCCAGAAGATCTAGCTCAGATCACTGGTGAAGGTGGCTACGCTAAACAATAGATTTCCAAGGTGGATAAATCAGCCTCGCGTTGGAAAAAGATGTCATCTAGGACTTTCGTAGCTAGAGAAGAGAAGTCAATGCCTGGCTTCCAAGCTTCCAGGGGCAGGCTGACTCTTTCATTAGGGGTGAATGCAGCCAGTGACTTTAAGTTGAAGTCAATGCTCCTTTACCATTCCTAAAATGCTAGAGTCCCTGTGAATGATGCTCAGTCTACTCTGTGCTCTATCAGTGAAACGTCAAAGTCTGGGTGACGGCACATCTGCTTACAGCATGGTTTACTGGATATTTTAAGCCATTTGTTGAGACCTACTGCCCAGATTTAAAAAAAAAAAAAGATTCCTTTCAAAATATTACTGTTCACTAACAATGCACCTAGTCACCCAAGAGCTCTGATGAAGATGGAGACGAATGTTATTTTCATGCCTGCTAATACAACATCCATTCTGCAACCTGTGGATCAAGGACTAATTTTGACTTTCAAGTCTTATTATTTAAGAAATACACTTTCCAAGGCTATAGTTGCCCTAGACAGTGATTCCTCTGATGGATCTGGGCAAAGTTAATTGAAAACCTCTGGAAGGGATTTATCATTCTAGATGCCATGAAGAACATTTGTGATTCCTGGAAGGATGTTCAGATATCAACGTAACAGAAGTTTGGAGGAAGTTGATTCCAACCCTCTTGGATGACTTAGAGGGGTTCAAGGCTTCAGTGGAGAAAGTCACTGTAAATGTGATAAAATTAGCAAGAGCACTAGACTTAGAAGTGAAGGCTGAAGATGTGACTGAACTGCTGCCATCTCATGATAAAGCTGAAATGGATGAGGGGCTGCTTCTATGGATGAGCAAAGAAAGCAGTTTCTTGAGGTGGAACCTCCTCCTGCTGAAGATGCTGTGAACATTGTTGAAATGACAGCAAAGGATTTAGAGTATTACATGAACTTGCTTGATAAAGTAGTAGCAGGCTTTGAGAAGATTGATTCCAGTTTTGCAAGTTCTGCTTTGGGTAAATGCTATCAAACAGCATTGCAGGCTACAGAGAAGTCTTTTGTGAAAGGAAAAGTCATAGATGCATCAAACTTCATTGTCCTAAAGAAATAGCCACAGCCACCCCAACCTTCAGCAACCACCACTCTGATCAGTTAGCAGCCATTAACAGTGAGGCCAGAGCTACACACAAAAGGGTGATGACTTGCTGATTGTTAGCATTTTTAAAGAAATAAGTACTTTTTAATTAAGGTATATATATTTCTCCTTTAGACATAATGCTATTGTATACTTAATACACTACTGTATAGTGTGAACATGATTTTATATGCACTAGGAAACCAAAAATTTGTGTCATTCCCTTTTTTTGCAGTAGTCTGAAACTGAACCCACAATATCTCAAAGGTATGCCTGTGCTCAAGTAAGTGTGCTTTTAAAATAATCACCATTGGCTGGGTGTGGTGGCTCAAGCCAGTAATCCTTAGCACTTTCGGAGGCTGAGGGGGGTGGATCACCTGAGGTCAGGAGTTCGAGACCAGCCTGGCCAACGTGGGGAAACCCCGTCTCTACTAAAAATACAAAAAATTAGCCGGGCGCAGTAGTGAGTGCCTATAATCCCAGCTACTCCAGAGAAACTGAGGCAGGAGAATTGCTTGAACCTGGGAGGCGGAGGTTGCAGTGAGCCAAGATGGTGCCATTGCACTCCAGTCTGGGTGACAGAGCAAGACTCTGTCTCAAAAAAAAAGAAAAAATAAATCACTATCTTGGTAGTCTACATACTTGTCCTAAGGAAGTTTCCATCACAACAAATATTTTTGTTTGGATATTAATTATGGATAATAGTTTACTCCTGATTTTCCAAACTTTATATAATATCAACTAATACATCATTTTATAATCACAAAAACGTTTTGTTCCAAGTTTTATAATATAAACACATGTATTAATTTTATAACCAGATGAAAGTTCTTTTAAAAGACATTTTGATATATACATATTAACATATATACGACGGATACTGCTTGGATTTCTACTTAGGACTTTATAAAAAAGGCAGCCTGTCTGTTCAGATGTTTCAGAAGGCAAAATATATACTGTTACTAACAGATACAATCACATACAGAATTATATATTCCATTATAAGTGCAAATACGTACGCCATTTCCTGGAATTCAAATTGGTGGGAGGGTAGGGAAGGGAGGGAGATTGGGAAACCAGAGATGCCAACAATAAGACATTGGAGAGAAGATAAATGGGAAAGACTTGGAGTGAATGTGACCCAGTCCCAGCACAGCATTGCTGGGTGGTCCGTGTTAATTTGAAGGAGCTGGAATTGGACAGTCACAACTACTCTTTCTGAACCTTAGTTACTTCATTTGTAAAGCAGGGGAAGATAGTGACACTTGCGCTTTCAACTCCATCGAGCTGTCGTAAAAAAGAAATGAGAAACTACATGTGAAAATACTTGGAAAAGTGTAAAGTCCTAACCCGGAGGAAGGTGCTCCCACCACCATCATTAGAGCTGTTATCTCTGGAAGCGAACCAAGACCTCCTAGGGGCAGGGCCGCTGCTCCCAGAACCACGCACTACTACTGCTCTGCAGCCCTGGGAGCCCTTCTTTGAACAGTAACAGCTACACGTCTTGCTCCAGTTGACAGACACCTTAGCCACGGTATTTTCTTAAGCTCTGCTTCCATGTGCGGCCTGGAAGTACGTGGTTCTGTGGGTGGAAACGAGGCTGTTGGCAGGGCTCTTGGCTTGTGTCTTCTTGCCTGTGCCTGGGTGTGAGGTCAGGTGGGGTGGGTGTGCACAAGGCCTGCCACCTGGTGTTGGTGTGTACACAGGGCTGGCGTCAGGCCACGGAGCTCCTAAGGAAGCAAGTGGTCCCAAATGGTCCCAAAGGCAGTCAATGGAACATGCGAGTCAACCCTAACACTTTTTTTTCACATTCCTTGCCACATCAGCAAGGCCGGAAATGGGAGAATTGCATTTCTTTGACTACTATTTCTTTTTTATTCATTTTCTTGTAAAATTATCCCCAACCTGTCTGAAGAGTCTGCCAGCCATTCACGTGTCTATACGAGGC